GTAAAATAATTAGTGAGTATGAGCAGAAATTTTAACTGTCCTTTTGCTTGTGGTAATGGACCCACAATATCCATTCCCCATTGCATAAATGGCCATGGCGCAATGACCGGATGTAATAACTCCGCAGGTCTATGCATATTATTACCGTACCTTTGACATTTATGGCATTTGGCCACGAAACTTTCTGCTTCTTCTTCCATCTTAGGCTAGTAATAACCTGCCCTAATTAAGGTTCTTATCAATGACCTTCATCCTGCGTGATTCTCGCAATGTCCTTCGTGTATTTCTTTCATTACATACTCTGTTTGCGAAGGTCCGAGGCATCTTGCTAAGGGACCATCAAACATTTTACGATATAAATTGCCTTGCTTTAAGCAGTACCGAGCAGCCTTCTTCCGAAGCGCATGAGCTTTTTTCTTATCATCAGGGACGGTACCATACTGCAAAAAAGCAACAATCTCGTTCCTCCAATCCCAAGTTAAATTATTAAAATTTACCTCATTCTTATCAAGATCGAGAACTGAATGAAATAAATGTATAACTGAGGCGTTTGTATCGCTTGCCACATCAGCTGCAGATGCGAGATTTGCTAGAGCGTCCTCTTCAACATTTTCATCTCTTGGTATTTGTATAACTTTCTAGGTTTGAAATTGCTTTATCAATTCCCGTACCTTTTCTAAGTATTGTTGCATCCTTGCTTCCCTAGCTGTATAAGTCCCCAACATTTGATTAACCATGAGTTGTGAATCACTCTTAATTATAATCTGATTTATGCCAAGCTCTCGTGCCAATTCTAGACCTGCAATCATAGCCTTATACTCCGTTTCATTGTTAGTTATGGAGTGACATTTAATAACTTATCGAATGGTCTCACCCGTAGGTGGTACCAAGACAATCCCTAAACCTGCACCTTTTACATTAGATGAGCCATCAGTGAATAAAGTCCAAGTTCTCGGGTTAGCTCCATTGAATACCTGTAATTATTTTTCTGCTTCTAATTGCATCCATTGGCTAAAATCAACCATGAAATCAGCTAACACTTGTGATTTTATAGCAGTTCTAGGTTGGTATGTGATTTCATATTCACTTAACTCTATTGCCCACTTAGCTAACCTACATGATAACTCATGCTTATGTAATATATTACTTAAAGGGTAGGCAGTTACTACAGCGATAGTATGACACTGAAAGTAAGGTCTTAACTTTCTAGATGTCATGATTAATGCAAGTGCAAGTTTTTCTAACTGAGGATATCACGTCTCCGCATCTAACAAAGATTTACTAACATAGTAGATAGGGGATTATTTACCTTGTTCTTCTCGGACCAAAATAGCGCTTACCGCAACTTCCAAAACAGCAAGGTAAATAAGTAGTCTTTCCCTAGCCTTTGGTTTTGTCAGCAAAGGTAGATTTGATAAGTACGTTTTCAAATTCCTGAGTGTCTGTTGACATTCCTCATTCCATTCAAAATGATCCTGCTTCTTAAGGGCTAAGAATAATTTAAAACACTTCTCTGATGATTTAGAAATGAATCTTTCCAAGGCTGCAATTCTCCCTGTTAATCTTTGAACTTCTTTCTTGTTTGAAAGTATATCAGGGATTTCCTCAATGGCCTTAATCTGTGCAGGATTCACTTCAATACCACGGTTAGAAACAAGAAAACCCAAAAACTTACCTGATGCAAGGCCAAATGTACATTTTTCGGGATTTAACTTCATATTAAATTTGCGCAAAATTGAAAATGTGTCAGATAAGTATGATATATGATCTTTTGAATACTGAGTTTTAACAAGCATATCATCTATATATACCTCCATAGTCTTTCCTAAATGCTCTTGAAACATTTTGGTAACTAACCTCTGATACGTTGCACCTGCATTCTTTAGACCAAAGGGCATTACTTTATAATAGTAAGTCACCCTGTCTGTTATGAATGAAATTTTGTCTTCATCTCTCGGATCCATTTAATCTGATTATAACCTGAATATGCATCTAAAAAACTTAATAGTTCTTGACCTGCAGTTGTATCAATCAATTGATCTATGTGTGGTAGTGAAAAAGAATCTTTAGGGCATGCTTTATTAAGATCTGTGTAATCTACACAAACCCGCCACTTACCGTTCTTCTTTGGAACTACAACAGTGTTAGCTAACCAGTTAGGTTACTTTACCTCACGAATGGAACCAATTTTTAGCAATTTTTGGACTTCTTCTTGAATTACCTGATTCTTGAAAGTTCCTTGTTTTCTTTTCTTTTGCTTGACAGGAGGGTATGATGGATCTTCATTTAGTTTATGAGTCATCACCGTCAGTGGTATTCCTGTCATGTGAGAATGGGACCAAGCAAAGCAGTCCACATTAGTTTTCTAAAATTCAATTAACTTATCTCTCATAACTTGGCTAAGATTGGCTCCAACATAGACTTTTTTATCAGACCATTGAGCAAATAACATGACAGGCTCTAATTCCTCTATTGTTGTTTTGATATTTTCATTCTCTTCTGGTTCTTGAATGGTATCAGGCCTTGAATCTACATCTGTTTGCCCTTGTTCAGTTGAGGTTTGTGTTGTGGTGTCCTCAACTGCCTTCTGTGATTGCTATTTACCTTCATTTCTCGTGCTTGTATCTGCAACAGAGTTGATAGCCCTGGCTGTATGTTGATCTCCACGAATTTGACAGATTCCCCATGGCGATGGAAATTTAATAACTTGATGCAAGGTTGAAGGAACATCATCCATTTCGTGGATCCATGGTCTCCCAAGAATCATGTTGTAAGCCATCTCCATATCTACCACCTGGAATTTTGTATCTTTAACGACTCCTTTAGCGAATGTGGTGAGTGTTACCTCTCCTTTCGTGAGGACACTAGAATTATCAAATCCAGATAGAGTATGCGCCTTTGGTATCACTTTATCTTCAGCATGCATCTCACATAATACTCTTAGTAAAATAATGTTCACGGAACTACCTAGATCAATCAAAACTCATTTCATATTAGTATCATATACAATTAAAGATATTACCAGTGCGTCGTTATGAGGGGTTAATACGCCATCTGCATCTGCGCCATTGAATGTAATATTATCTTCCTCTAAAACATGTCGCACCTGTTTCCCTTGGGTAATTGTTACTTTGGAAATTTTGTTAGCTGCAGTATATGATATACCATTGACGTCTTCACCCCCACTTATAACGTTGACAGTTCTTTTGGGAGAAGGTGGTTTTGGAGGCTCCTGCCTGTTCTTCATGTAAGCTTGCTTGCCTTTCTCACTGAACAACTCAGTAAGATACCCTTGTTTTAATAAATGATCAACTTCACTTTGTAAAAATCTGCAATCTGCTGTTTTATGTCCGTGGTCATTATGAAACTCGCACCAATAGTCAGGGTTGCACCTGTTTGGATTCGATCTCATTTCCTTTGGCCATCGAACCTTATCTCCCATACTTCTCAAAACAACTATGAGCTCGGAGGTGCTGACGTTGAAGTTGTAACCACCGAATCTCTCTTTTAAATTTCTATCATCATCTCATGACTCATAGTTATTTCGCTCGTTCCTGAATCTTGATGAAGAACCTGATTCTTTGTTTCTTGATCTGTGATCGTACCTTTGATTATCCTGCTTTGACCGTGAGTCCTTTCCCGCAGGTCCCATGTAAGGCTCGTACCCGTTTTTACCGGATCGTACGTCTTGAACTTACCTTTTCTTCTTTTTGAAATCGTGGAACAGTATTTTCCTCAATCCTCAACTTCATGCTATACCTGTTATAAACATCATTCCACGTTGTAGCTGGGAATTCTCGAAGGCTTTCCTTGAGCCTCCTCGTAGCTTCCGAGCTTTTTTCATTCAAATTACTTGTGAAAGCTATAACTGCCCAGTTGTCGGGTACACGTGGCAATGTCATGCTTTCACATTGAAATCTGTCCATGAATTCTCTAAGCAGTTCTGAGTCCCTTTGCTTGATTTTGAAAATATCCTCCATTCTTTTCTCTACTTTTTGAGCTCCGAGTGTGCTTTGATGAAAGAATCTGCAAGCTCAGCAAAAGAATTTATAGAATTTTCGGGTAAAAGAAAATACCATGTTAGCGCTCCTTTGGTGAGCGTTTCACCAAATTTTTTGACTAATACTGATANTTTGCCCAAATCATAATAAGGCTATTATGAATAATTAAAGATATTGAATGCTACGTTACATAATTATTATATTCAATACAAATTCTCTAACGTATTCAACATTTAATGCCTATTAAATACTGTATATGCACTCTTTTCTATTGTCAGATCCATTCCTTTTGATTCTTGGATATAAATGACTTAAATATGTACGAGCACTGAATCCTTCGAATAACCGCCCGTGCCTCTTCCTTTGCCTTTGCTCGTTTCCGTTGCTGCTCGTGCCTCTTGGCTAATTGTAATTCTTTGACCATTTGACCAGTCCACGTGTCTTGACACGTCACCTTTATATACAATTTTTTCCAATACATCTAGGATTAAAGAAAATTTCCAAATATATTAATAGCAAACAATTATCCAACATTATAAAATCTCCTATGTACATCAAATAGCCAATAACTTTTGTATAGGGTACATTCTGTGTGAATTTAATTTCTGTCAACTTCAACATTTTTCTGGACATTGAGCCGTATTAAGTTTGTTTGCTTTTGACTACATTTGCAAAGTTAGTAATCACAAATCACTTTAGGTTCCTTTTTCTAAAATCAATTCGATGCTACACTTTCTCCATCTTAATATTTGGTGTCTTTCTGATTGATGACGTATTAATAGTTCTTAGACAATTAGTACAACTTTCAACTTCATTTAACTATCTAAATTTTTAGAATTTGATATAATCTTATCTTTGTTCACTAATTTTTAATAAATACTTAAATATATCCGGTAACTACATTAATATAATGGCGCATCAATCAAGCTACAACTATTCAAATTTTTGTGTCTAATTAAAGCAATACATATATAAAATGAGACGAACATAGTATAATCTCGTTCTCGTACTTCACAAAAAATGAGCGACAAATGGCAAGTTTTCTAGAAACAGAGAACAGAATTGGGTCACAACTTATAACGTCCTCCTCAAAACCAACGAAAGTCCAAGCTACTTCCTAAATTCCCAAAATGACCTCCTGGTCCGCCACCGTTGCACCACCTCTCTCACCGCCATCTTCCGACTCCGATTCCGATTCCGCCACCATCTCCGACTCCCATCACCACCGCCATTCCGACCTCTCTTCCACCATCTTCAAATCCTACCTCGAACATTCCAGCGGCGACCACAACAACCAACAACAGCAACAACATGACCTAATCAAAATCCAATCTTTCCTCACTTCTTCTCGTTCCGGTGCCCTCTCATGCCTCATTTGCCTCGAAAGAATCCGTCCTTCCGATCCCACATGGTCATGTTCCTCTGGCTGTTTCGCCGTCTTTCATCTCCATTGTATCCAATCATGGGCCGTTCAATGCTCCAATTTGGCCGCCGCACGTGCCGTCACGCGCGCCGCCACTCCGAATGACAGTTCCCTTTTATGGCACTGCCCCAAATGCCGAGTTGAGTATTCCAAATCGCAGATCCCTAAAAATTACTATTGTTTCTGTGGGAAACTCCCGGACCCACCTCATGATCCTTGGGTTTTACCTCATTCTTGTAATGAAATTTGTGGGAGGCCATTGAAGTACAATTGTGGACACCATTGCTTATTGTTGTGCCACCCGGGACCGTGCCCGGCTTGTCCTAAATTGGTTAAATCCAATTGCTTTTGTGGGGCTGTGGAAGATGTCAAACGATGCGGGTTCAAGAATTTCTCGTGCAACGGTGTTTGTAAAAAGTTGTTGGATTGTAAGACTCATAGGTGTAGTGAAACTTGCCATGAGGGTAATTGTCCTCCTTGTAAAGCTAAAGGCATTTATAAGTGTCAATGTGGGAAGTTGGAGATGAAAAGAGAGTGTTTTGATAGGTTCTTTAGGTGTGAAAATCCATGTGTTAAGTTACTTGGTTGTGGGAGGCATAAGTGTGAGAGAGGTTGTCATGAGGGTGATTGTGGAGATTGTCCACTTCAAGGGAAGAGGACTTGTCCTTGTGGGAAGAGATTTTATGAAGGGATTGCTTGTGATGCTCCGGTTTCGGTATGTGGAGCAACGTGTGGTAAAATGCTGAGCTGTGGATTTCATAGGTGCCCTGAAAGGTGCCACAGAGGCCCCTGCATTGAAACTTGTAGGGTGGTTGTTACTAAATCGTGTAGGTGTGGGAGTTATAGGAAACAGGTAAGATTTAGTTGTACTTATTTTGATTAATTTACTTGATCTTTTGTGATTATTTCTTTCGGTTCTAAGTTTATCAACAATAAATTGAACTTAGAATAGGTTCCTTGCTATCAAGATATGACATGTGAAAGGAAGTGTCAGAAAATGCGGGACTGTGGAAGACATGCCTGTAAGCGCAAATGCTGTGATGGGGATTGCCCACCTTGTTCTGAGGTGTGTTTGTTTAGTTCATATTTTGACAATTTTGTTACTTACTATTATTCCTAATGTGTACTTAAATCTGTCAAGTGACAGATGTGTGACAGGAAGCTCCGTTGTAGGAATCACAAGTGTCCAGCTCCTTGCCACAGGTCTGATATAGTTCTTTCTGTTTTCCTGAGTTGCGATTCCCAGGCATTAAATGGGTTGTTGTTGTTGTTGTTGTTGTCCTCTTACAGGAAAAGTTATTGTCTTATTGATATATCAGCTTTTTGTAGATTCAGTACATGAAAGAGTGTATACCATTTTGTGAAGCTCCTTTCCTAATATGTAGTGTGTTGGATATGTGTACTTGTGGTGTCTCTAATGCATATTTCCATAATTTAGGAACAAAAATCGTTACAAATTTGTGAAATGAGAACTGAGAAGGACAAACATGATAAATATTAGTAATCATTCTTGTTGCCTTTCTCAGAAAAGTAAATATTAGAAATCATTCACGTGGATTTTATTAGACACCTATCATCTAAGAAGGATAAGCTTTAGCCTTTTTGAAGTTTAAGATACTTGAAGTGATTCGGCACCCAAGGTTGTGGCCTAGTGGTTAATGAAATGGGAGGAGGACCATGAGGTCTCATGTTCAAATCCCAGTAGAGGGAGAAAACGCTAGGTGATTTCTTCTCCTAAGCCTTGGTGGCTGGGTTATCGGGTATTTGCATTGGTGCCCAAACTGCCCCCGGACACTACCATCATAAAAAAAAAAGATACTTGGGGTGATTTAATAATTTATCTTGCTACAGTGGAGCCTGATATGACTCTCCGGATGAGGACATCAGGAGGCAGCGTGGAAAAGGATTGAATTTTGGCACCTATTGTTTGTCAATGCTATTGCCTGCCGAACTAAACACCTGATCATATGTAGGAAAAGTTAACAGTTATATATGTTGGTCTCTTATGATTTAAAGTGGTGTTACTTTAGTGTTGATTTGCAAAGAAAAAATTGTATGAGCTAAATAATCCCAATTCTTGTTTATATATTTTATATTTGGGTGACTGTGGCAGTCCTTGATCTTTTAATCCTTGCATCAGTTATTGAACAATATGTGACCAATTTCCTTTGGTTACTGCAGAGGCGCTTGTGCACCCTGCCCAGTGATGGTCACAATTTCATGTTTATGCGGGGTGACACATTTCGAGGTAGGAGTTCAGTTACTGTATGTACCTTGTTTGAATATTATTATCTCCTATAGTGGAAGAGATGGTTGTGATTTCTATATAAGTATCTGTTTTCTGTTTTACTGATTAGAAAAAGTGGCATAGAGTTTTCTGTTGTCCAGTCGTAGGACTTTCCCTCTGTCTGGTGAGCATTGTTTTATACTGGGAGTCTTCACCAGTATTTTATGATGAGTCAATGACATCCTTGAGCTTTTCACTTAAATATCTTTATGCTTCAAAGATCTGAATCTTCTAGCTTAAGAGACAAAGAAGGAGCCTAGGAATGAACATCGATCTATGAATAGGTTGTAACTCATGGTGCTTACTTATATTCCTCTTTACCTACACTTGTTTATAATCCCCTCATTAATTTGATAACTTGTGGCCTTCTATGATAGCATGATGCGCCTAGTGACTGATGGTAACAGGTGCTCATTATTTGATGTTCCTTGGCATGCACCAAAAGCAATCACAGCACTAAAAGCATGACAATTTACCTCTGTAGAAATGACATCAGCCTCCCCAATCTATCCTCTTTCATCTTGTCAGATGATTTGACGTAGTAAACAAATTTTCTGTCATCACCTTATCAAAATAAGAAAATAAATTTCTGTCATCTCCATGCTCGGCTCCAATAAAACAAATCAACTTGCAATCTCTCTAATGATGGCACTGTTACTATCCTCACATTGCTTCTCAGCACTGCCTGATTTCTGCTTTCCAAATTCTGCTGGAATTTTTATGCTTTAAGCAATGAAGTAGAAATCATTTTAAAAAGTTTAGCAAGAAGGCTCTAGATTACAACTAGAAGATTCTTTATGGTACTAACATTGTAAATCTTTTCGTGAAGATTCTTGCTAACTTGTTTCTGGTAATTTTGTTCACTTTGGTCAGGTTCCTTGTGGTGCAGAAGCTGAACAAACACCTCCAAAATGTCGTAAACCATGTCGTGTGGATCGTTTATGCAGGCATGCTTCTAATTGCAAGGTTGTATTTGTTGCATGTACTACTTACCATGTACTAGGTGATTGTATGAATATTTTATATCGTTATTCTAGGAATATTTAGCAGGGTTATCACTTGATGCCTCGGTTTTCATCCAACTTCTAGCATGAAATAAAATACTGTTCACTTGATGAGGCTAACGTGTGCACTCATTTCTCCAGCCACATAGGTGTCACTATGGAGCTTGCCCACCATGTCGTTTACTTTGTGATGAAGAATATCCTTGTGGGCACAAGTGTGAATTGAGGTTTGCCTTTATTACATTTCTGGATATCTACTATTGTATACCCGTTCATTCACTGAATCTTTGTTAATCGTTGATTATAAGCAGGTGCCATGGCCCTACACAACCTCCTCTTCCAGAGTTCACTTTGAAACCAAAGAAAAGGAGACCGAACAATCAGACTGAACCTACTCCTGGTTCATCATGCCCCCCATGCCCACAACTTGTATGGAGGTCTTGTTGGGGTAATCATGTAGGAGCAGAAAGAATGGTGGGAATCATATCCTCAACTCGTCGATAATACTTACATTATCTTCTTTTGTATATTCTTTTCAGGAGCTGTTTATTATTCTTTTGTCTCTGTCAAAAGCTTTACATTTACTTACCAACAGAAATTCACTTGAGCTCTTTCTTGTTTCAGATGGTCTGCTCAGACAGGACAGTATTTTCCTGTGACAATTTGTGTGGAAATCCTCTTCCTTGTGGAAATCACTACTGCACTAAAGTTTGCCATGCCTTGGTTAGTAGTGCTTCAAAATTATATGGCAGTAGAAGACCCGAATCTTGTGAAGAGTGTACTCTTCCTTGCCAACAGGTATTAATATATTTTCTATCCATCTCATCTGTGGGACTTACTAGTTTTTTCTTTTGGGGCCTAATTCAGCAATCAATACTTTCGATGATATGTTTGGTGGCTCTATCATTTTGATGATTGCACTCCTTTATAAGTTGGCACTTTATGGTTTGTTGTTCGGGTATGAACTATTTACTTTTATTGATCATTTTTAGGAAAGAAAACCTACTTGTCGTCATCCATGTCCCTTGCGTTGTCATCCTGGAGAATGCCCCCCTTGCAAAGCACTGATAAAGCGTTCATGTCACTGTGGTTCCATGGTTCATGTCTTTGAGTGCATATACTACAACAGTTTGTCCGCAAAAGAGCAACTTACTGTTCGATCATGTGGAGGACCATGCCATAGGTAGCTTATTGAACTTTGCTCACTTTTCCTTCAAATCTACGATAAACGAAAGCTGTAATTTCATCGTTTTATAGGTAGGCTATATTTCTTTTTGTATCACCTTCAGCAAAAATGGTGTGCACCATGATGGCTACATAGGCTATTTGGCTTATCAACTTATTTGCGCAACCCCCTTCCCTTTAGGCTTATAATAAAGTTGATTTTCGTGCATTTTACCTTATTGGGAAAAAAAAGTTGAATTGTGTGCATTTGAAATGCACCTGAAACTCCCTAGCTGACCTTGATGAACCCTTCTTTGTTTGGATGCAAAATGTGCAGAAAATTACCTAATTGTACGCACCTCTGCCCGGAGATATGTCATCCTGGTGAATGTTCATCTCCTGATCAATGTTCCAAGAAGGTAATTGATTGATATACTCTCACTGCGTGGTTTGTTGACCTAGTTATCTTAGTCGGTAATACTTAGTTCGAATTACAAAAAGCTTATGTTTCATAGCATCTTGTTTTAAATCAAAATCTTTCCTATGGACATATTTATATTGAAGTAGGAAATTGCACCTATTTCCCACGAAAGTGAATTTTCTTTCAACCTTTTTTACTTTTCGTTGCCAAGTAGTCCGTGAGGGGGAGGGGAGGCATGTTACTGGTTCAGGGATGTACTGTACCCATTCTGATATCCATTCACTCCCAGACCAAGAACTCTGTGAAGCCTATAATGAGCAGATCGGCGGACCACCCCCAACGCCACAAAAGAAAAGCAACAGTGAGAGGAAACCTCCTTTCCCTGCTTGGAGCATGACCATGGGGTCAGAGAAGTAGCAAATAAGTTTAANGAAGGTACCTTTTAGTTAGCCAGCCAATTCCAGGACCAAAAAGCATATCCATTGCATCAAACCAAGCTTGGTATTGAAACTATTCTATTTTATGCTGAAACAAAAGGGCTTTAAATCATTTTTCTATCACAAATTGTTGGCTAACTTAACTATCTTTCCCCAATTCGACAAATTCTTAAGGGAGCAGGGATATGTTTCAGCAACACATATACTACCCATGTGTGAAGGGCTGTTTGGTCTATACTATGTATATGCTGATTCGGAATATCTACATAAGTTTATTATTTATGGACTAGAATAAACAAATTAATTAATATTTGACTATTAGCTCACAAACTGATTTCTGTTTTCTACTTTCTTTGCCACGCTATTCTATCAAAGCATCGAGTTAGGATTTGAATGGGCTTACTCGATGCCATTAAACATTCCACTAACTGGTGTGTACCAGGAAAATCATCTTTATGAAGCTGCATGAAAGCCAATTGTCTGAGATGCCATTGCTTTTCATCAGCTACTTTTTATTTGGATGTGTCAATTATCTATATTTAAAAACCATGAAAAAAAGAGAGTTCCGTTGTCAGTGAGAAAGGAAAAAACTGGATAAAAGAAAAGAAAGAGAAAAAAATTTAATTTCTGTGACTACACTTACTATTTCAGGAAAGGAAAAAAAAAAGATTTTAACTTGTATGAGCTTCATCCAAAATACAACTAAACTCTATCCCAGAAAGTTGAACAGGAATTTTTCTAATGAGCCAGATAGCTCCTTTCTATTAGCTCTATTAACCCAGATAACTTATTATTCCAAAATGTAAAATCAATTCTTTTTTCATTGATTGATGGCATATAGTATAGGCTCATAGTTGATGAGCCCAAAAAAAAAAATGTTCCAGTTATTTAGTTTACTGGGTCACTTTTATCAATTCTTTTTCCATGTTCTATCCACTATTTTCTGCCTATCTACTGTTAATGTTTAATGATTCTTTTATTAGGTTACTGCTCGCTGTGGATGCCAAAATCTGAAAAAAGAGTTGGTCTGTAAGGATGTGCAAGCAGCCTATAGAAGTAATGGTACTGATCCCAAAGATGTATCTAGAAACCAATATGGACTTGGCATCCTTCCTTGCAATTCAGATTGCAGGAGCAAAGTGAAAGCTGCTGAGGGGGAGTTGCAACATCGTAAATCAAAAGCGCCCGAGGTAAACCTTTATAATTTTCTCAACTGCATGTCATGATCTGCTGTATTTTCTGGAGTTGAACAAGAAAGAGGGTTACTTCTCATGCCTTACGTTGAATAGTTTATTTTTTGAGAATGAGAATGATTGCGCTCAATAGGTTATTGATCCAAAAGTATATCCCATAATTAGTTGAAATTTAGCTCAAATTTGCTCTTCGTCAGGAAAAGGAACCTGAAACCAAAGATAATGTGATGAAGCGAAGACGGAGAAAAGGACGGGTGCTCGAAGACAAGAAAACTTCAATACTGCAGGTCTGTCTTAGACTTATTGATACATCCGTTTTTCTTTCAAGCTTTCAAATGCTTAACTGCAGTTATTTTAATTTGACAGAGAATATTTGCTGGCATCAAGAAATTTCTTCTATTTGTTATCATCATAATAGCTCTGATTGCTTCAGTATATTTGGGTTATAAAGGCCTATTATGGCTCTCTGATTGGATGAACGAAGCTGAAATACAACGACAAAGAAGATACTCGCGAACATAGTTCGTCAGAATCAACTTCATACAGAATTGTTTAATCTTGGTTGAACGGCAAGGAGGAAACATTCTTTATTCATTTTGGAGTTAGTTGATATTGGTTTTCATATATGTAAAATAGCTCACAGGACTCAGAGAAGCTTGGAGAGTGGTCTGACTAAGTTTTCTTTTTCCCTTTAAAGTGGCAAAATACATAATTTACCCATTGACCTTGCACCCAAATCCCTGTTACACACCTCTACCACGGGCAACCTTCTATACATCCAACCTTTTAGAAGTGTGTCAATGACACACCATTCTGCTTAGCTGGCATGTGCGTGTTTAACACAAAAAATAAGAGCGTGAGAAAGGTAAATCTTTTGTCCAAAATCTTATTTAAGTTCCATTTGTCAAAAATTAAACCAAAATGGAAATTATTTTAAAAAACAAACTCAAAAATAAAGAAAAAACAAGAGAAGAAAAGGAAAAGACCATTTGGTCTGAATTCGCGGACAACTTCACCATAAAGAAGATAAAACTCAATCTACAATTTACACAATAACATTCAATCAAATAAGGTAATTTAGTCATCTTCTCTATCTTTTCCTTTCCATTCAGAAATTTGGACAATTTGTGGCGGTGTCGAATTTTTGAATCGTCATTTGGGAGGAGAAAGTTTTGAACCTCCATTGTTGGGGTTTCTTGAGTTTTCGAATCGGCGTTTGGGCGGAGAAATCTAGCAACAATGTTGGAAATTATTTGGACTGAATTATTGAGCTTGTTTACTGAATTAAATTTTTGTTGCTATCCTGAAATTGATTTTAAAGTTATTCTTAGATTTTTGAATCAGCTTTTGGGTTTGTCAAAATGCGAACCAGTGTAAAAAAAAAATAATCGAATTATAATTTTAAGTTGAGCAAACTTCATTTATGGCCAGCAGCTAGAAACTAATATCAGCCGCTAGCCACAAAATTACAGTATACATTTTGTAGCCCAAAACTAATTAAAAGGCTAGCCACCGATCCAACTATCACCGAAACAGTCCTTCCTTACATTTCAAACTCAATCGTTACACAGAGGCGAGGTCTTCTTTTTTTCTTTCCTCTAGTCAGTTTAAGCAGATCTGAAGGTTTCCAATTGAAACCAAACAGTTTCGGCGAATAATGGTGGCCAACAGTGGTAATTTTAATCTCTCTTACTCACTCGCTTTAGCCTCTATTTTTCGTGTGCTCTCTTTGTTTTTCCCTACCCCCAATCTTGTGCTCTTTAAACTTTGTGTGTGTGTGTGTGTGTTTCTTTTCAGTTGAGAACACAAAGAAGGTGAAGTCAGAAGGAGGGGAGGCATCCTCGAAGAAGGGAAAATGGGATCTCTTTTTTTGTATGTGTTTGTTGGTTTTTCATTTGAGAGAAAGAGAGAGGGCCCAAAATCTAAAGAAGAGGCGTTAGGTTCTAGCTCTTGTTTTCGTTGCTTTTTCTTTTCTAGTGTAGAAAATTGAGAGGTTTCTTTGTGCTGTTGTGGTCATAGCAGCAGTAATGGAGCTGAAGGTTTTTGATTTATTGTGTCTTGTGGGAGAAACAAAGATGGCGGAAACTAATGCATAGTCTAACTTTAGGTCTCAATTGTCTTTAATTTTTTATCTCATGCATAGCCTTCACTGTACAAAATATATACAAATAGACTTTCATTATACAAAAAATATNTTACATATTATGATATATGTCATACTTTTCATATTATTCATAGTAGAATATATATATATATATATATATATATATATATATATATATATATATATTAAATAGACTGTCCCTATACAAAAAATATACAAAACAGACTGTCACTATACAATTTATATACAAATAGAGTGTCATTATACGAAATATATACAAAAATAGAATGTCATTATACAAAAAATATACTAAAATAGACTGTTATTATACAAAATATGTATAAAATAGACTATCACTATATAAAAATATACTAAATAGACTGCCACTATACAATTTATATACAATTAGCTCTCACTATACAAAATATATACAAAATAGATGGTCACTATACAAAATAGACTGTTACTATACAAAAAATATACAAAATAGACTGTCACTAGCAAAAATATACAAACATATACTGTTATTATACAAAAAATATACAAAATAGACTGTCACTAGCAAAAATATACAAAAATATACTGTTATTATACAAAAAATATACAAAATAGACATTTCGTATATGACCTGCATTACATATTTCATTCAATTCTTAGCTAATACTTATCATATCCAGAAGTAAAAAAATACAATTTAAAAAGGCAAAAAAAAGGCTGCTTTATCGCGCCAGGGAGGATCGAACCTACGACCTTCAGCTTGGAAAGCGATGCTCTATCTACTGAGCTACAAGCGCTTGTGTTGTAATTCTCATTCCTTTCGGCTACTATATGCAATATGTTTGGGCCGAAGGGCCATTTTCTGTAAATGGGCCAAAACATAGGCTATTAAAATTTTGTAGCGCTATAGAGGGTAGTTTTCTCTTTTAAATTGCCGGTTCAATGGATGTGGAGGTGATATGATGAGTGGTGCCAGCTATGGTGGTGGGGTGGTCACCTGCGACAGATCTGCCGGAGAGATGGGGGAGCAGAGAGCTAATTTAGTTTTTCTAAAAAAATAAAGTTCTTTTGTAGTCATAATTTAAAACCTAATGAATTTGTGGAATTGAAATGTGGTGCATTTGTAGAAAAAATGTGAAATTATTATACAAAGATTGCTCTCAACATTGGTGGCCGTTGTGGATTCTCCACTAAGTTGGGTGGGGAGTCATTTTTTTTTAAAAATAAAACTTGGATGGATTCTTTTTATTTTTCTACTTTTATGTTAGTGACACATGTCACAGCCTTATTCATGCGTGACACACACATGTTTAGAAAAAGTGGTCAAACACAGAAGTGGTGTGTCATTGACACACTTCTAAAAGGTTGGGTGTGTAAAAGGGTGCTCGTGAGAGGTGTGTAACAGGGATTTGGGTGCAAGGTCAATGGGTAAACTATGTATTTTGCCTTAAAGAATCAACGTAACTTAGAGTTTGTCAAGGTTCTCTATAATAATAAAGAAGGGGAACCTTGGAGCAACGGTAAAGTTGTCTCCGTGTGACCTATAGGTCATGGGTTCGAGCTGTGAAAGCAGCCACTAATACTTGCATTAGATTAGGTTGTCTACATAACATCCCTTTGGTGCGTCCCTTCTCTGGACCCTGCGTAAATGCATGATACTTTGTGCACGGGCTTAAGGCTGTATTGTGGTCCGGTCCAGGGCATAAATGGGCTGGGCCAAAGGGGCCCGGGCTTAACGGTCCTGGAGGGTGGAACCGGCCCATCGTGGGCCTAAGCCCACATGGTCCCAGGCTAAATGGGTCGGGCCCACAAGCCCAAACGGGCCTAAGTGTTCCCAGCTATTTTCTTTTGAATTTTTTTTTATCTAAGGCAATTTCTTGTAAATTATATTATATAATTGTGACTTAAATCTTCTAATTCAAATTTAAACACAAAACAATTGCAAAGAAATATTCAAGGGAATGCCTTATAGTAATTTTTATTATTACGACATTAACAAATAATGGCAATATCTTTCTTAGTCTTCCTCCCCCCAATGGAATGAGCACAACAAGGTGCTAATACCACCATTAAAAGAAAAAAAAAACTAATGAAGATGTGCCAAAATACAAGTTACATATTAGTCTATGTATTATCTCTAACAAATTTCATAAATCCTTCAAGGTTCGGAGGAATTTCCGTTAGTGGTGGTGGAAAAGAAGCTTGTTCATCATCGTTTCCAGGCGAAGCAGCATCCTTCGCAAGTTCAGCTAGCATTTCTTTATAAGCTTCGTCTATTTCCGGTTGTGATTCAGCAAGTCCAAAATTTCTTCTTTCCGAATGGATCCAATCTCTGAAGAGTACTGATTTTTCCAAGCTCTCCCTCATAGACGCTCTATGATCACCGATTTGAAGTCTCGCTTAATTGAAAGCGCTCTCTGATGCCACTGTTGAAGCTTGAATACTTAAAATATCTCGAGTCATCCTTGAAAGAATCAGATAGTGTTTTTCTTTGTCCTTTTACCATTCCAAAACATCAAAGAAGCCGTCGGGATTCTCTGATTCAAGTCCCTGCGACAAATAAACTTGAAGCTCATTTAGTTGTGAACTATCACCAATATTATCACCTTGAGAACCCCTGAACTCCGTCCAAAATTAAGTGTTTTTAGGCCCGCAGTTCTTTTATATAATTACGAACTAGACGAAGTAGGAGTTGGAACATTTGGTCTAGCATGATCTAAGGCAAGTTGATAAGCATTATAAATTGTTTGAGCATTTATTTTAATTGAGGCTTTTGCATCTGCAAGTGTAGCAAATTCCTCATCTGAAAGTGATAAAGTCTTATAAATAAATGTATACCAAAAGTAAGGAACTCCAAATTTCATGGTAGGATTTAACATGGCAGCAACACCAAAAATAGGGAGGATAGGGAAAAAAATATTTAGCAAGTTAATAAATTACCCCACCCTCTGATAGGCCAAATTCATCACATTTTTTAAAATATTCTCTAAGTCTACTTCTACGGTTTGAATAAAAAAGCCAATTAAGAGCCATTTTAACCTTTTCAATTTCAACATTTAATATTTTCATACCATCACCGGCGATTAAATCGTAAATATGACAAATACATCTAACATGGAAAATATTACTAAATGCAGGATTTAGTGTAGTTGTAAGCAAGCCTATAACATTAGTGTTACTAAAAGCAAACTGACATTATTTTACCTCTAATGCAAAAATATCTACAAATATCTGCAACTGCGTTAGCAATAAACTTACCTGTGTGACGTGAATTAATTATTCTATAAGCAATAATGCGCTTTTGCATTTTCCATTCCTCATCAATCCAATGAGTGGTAACAGTAAGATACACTTCTACCAATATCAGTAGTAATAAATACGACAATTTATATGAGTAAATAAATAGCGCAAATATTGTTCATATTCATGTTTATATTTATAAATATCGCTCTTTACAGTTACACGAGGCCATCCTTTATAAGTAGGATTAAAGCTCTTCTAATATAATGCACAAAGTGAGGGTTAGAAGGAAAACTATATGGTAAGCACATAACAGTAACCATTTTTGTCAATTCTTCACGATCTTTATTTGGATCATAATATAAAATGCCATCGGTAACAGTGTTAATT